ATGCAGTTTCATGCTTCAACAAATTTCTTAATGTGTCAGTTCATATCACCAATTATTTTAACAGTTTGAGTTTGAATTTGAATTGTATTAATTGTTAACTTAACCAATGGACGCAATATAAACCATTAAAATAAAGAATAAACACAAATACAAAATATATGAGCCGTATCTCAAGAAACATGTGATGTCATCCTTTTTACACACATCATCATTCAATCGTTTTATATAGAAACATGTGATATCATCCATTTTATACACATCGTCATTCAATTCCACACATCATCTTTCAATCTACTTATATGGGCCTATGGCATAAAGCTACATCTTTCATTTTGTGTGTGTAATTCGTGTCTTAATAGGGATTGAAGAAGCAGACCAGTCAACTTAACGTTGTTTACGAGTGGCTCAGAGAATTCGCAATTGCAGACAATGAGTGGTTTGAAGATTCTGCCACGCATGATGCTAGCCAACGTTGTCGTCTTTGTCGGGCATGGGTGCCTCCGCATACGAAGAGCGAGTACGAAAACGACGGGTTGAAACTTATACCTGTGGGCCTATGGCGTAAAGCTACGTCTTTCATTTTGTTTTTGTGTGTAACTCGTGTCTTTTTAGGATCTGAATCCTGCCGCGTGTTATGTACCTGTTGACAGGTAGGTACCATCAGCTATCAAAGTCAAAGTACTTTGAAGAAGGAGACCAATCAACTTAACGTTGTTTACGAGTGGCTCAAAGAATTCGCGATTGGAAACGAAATGAAATACCTAGGAGAAGTTGTGAAAAATTAAAATTCTAAACAAAGTTGAAGTTATATGAAAAGCTGAAATTAATAATCAAAATTTTAGGAAAATGTTTGATCAAACTTTTAAAAGGAGTGTATGTTTAGTCTAAAAAATCAAAAAACGAGGCGTCTATATCAAAACGTCTCTAAATTTTAATTGTAAAAGCAATTGTGTGGTGTACCGTGCATTCAACAATATGTAGGATGTTAATATAAAAAGCTTTATTTATACTAACCTTTTTGCACGTACTCATGCACTTGCAAAATGCCCTTTTACATCACGGTGCGCTACGCACGGCTTATGAAGTTCTTTTTTCTTTTTTACATTTGGTCACGCATAAAGACATTCTTATAATCATTTATAATTTGTAACCTACATTATGAAAGGTATCAAATTAATAAACCAAGAAATCAAGAATGTCTTTATGCGTGAAGTCAAGCATTAACTGGAGATACAGAAGCAAATCAAATTAATTTATATAGGTCACAAATGCTATTCATTATGTAAAATTAAATTATTGCTCCTATCATTTGTGTCCATTCTCGATTTGTTGAAATCCACTTTAAATTTTCTTTGTATTCCTACATAAACCAAAAAAAAACAAGAACACAATAATTTTTTTGACAAAAGAAAAGATAACATGAGGAAACAATATATGCAATAACAATAACTTTCATATTAATATCAGTGCAGAGAAGAGCTTGTTAGAAAATATTAGTATTTATGTTTATTTTAGTATTTGGGTTTTCCTTGTTAGTTTAAGAATTGGGTCTAACCCATCCAAGTTAGGGTTTCTTATGTTTAGTTCTCTATAAATATTGCTTGTCATTTAGTTTGAGAAACAAGTTAGTCACAATGTAGCCTCTTAGGGTGTGTTTGTTGCACCAGATAATCTCGAACTGGATCAGCTTCAAGGACTAAGATGGACTGGCTTAATCAAGCTTTTGATACAGTATCAGACTAAAAAATAAGATAACTATCAAATTTAGATATTATATTATCTAATTCCTATTTATTAATATTTTAGTATTAATCTATCATTTTATTTGTTTCTAGAAACACCTCTTTCTAACATGTTCCTCTTTCCTCCGCTACTCTCTCTCTCCCCCCATATCCCTCTTTTTATCTAGTTCACCATTTTCTAGAATTCTCTTCCACTCTCCGTATACATCTCCCTATTTTCCTCTTCCCATCTCTTTCCCATCCCCTCTTTTCCACCATCCACTCTCTCCCTAACCTCTCCCTTTTTTCCTTATGCAGAGGATTCGTGCAAAGGATTCATCAGAGCTCACCACCCAATGTCTCCTCTAATTTTCTTGAAAAATTTTAGGATTTTCTGGTGATTTTGCGTTTTTGTTTTGAATTTGTTTGGGAGATTCGTCTACATGTGCTTTTGGGGGAATTTTAGATGTTGGATTTTGAGATTTAGGCAGTGGGTGGGTGTGGGTTTCAGATCTGGGCAGGGGTAAGGGAGTAGGAGTTGCAAACGACAAAGGTATGCAAACGATGTTGGAGACGGGATTAGCAATCTCGTGGTTTTTGGGGGGTCTCACAAGGACGACTTAGCGAAGCGCTTAGTCGGAACGAGTCCGACTTAATCCCATTTAAGTTTAGTCCAGCTTCCACCAAACACGGGATTAGTAGTCTTAATAAAGCAGCTAGTCTAGTGAACTTTAACGAGGGCAAAAAAACACACCCTTAGGGTTTTGTAGCCGTCTTGGCATTTTTGTTTGTTTAATAATATTCCTATTAGTTTGTAGTATTGGTTATCGTCCACTCTGATATTCAACTTGGTATCAGAGCAGGTTTCATCCTTCGGGATGTAATCTGCTTTGGGTTGGTATCCATTTGCTTATGTCCGTTGTCGTTCGTGTTCAGATTGTCTAGTTGTGTTTGACAGTTTGCAAGGAAAAAAAGTGATAATTTTTTTAGTTGTGTTGACGGCCTTCCGCCGTTCGTATTCGTCTCTGGTCACCTGCTTGTTTGACGAAGCCCAGACCCGAGAACCATAAACTCTAATCGAGTTCGTCTTCGCCTTAGATCACTTGCATTCTAACCCGCACCACCATCTCCGCTGCTACATCCACCCGTTCACTGTACCTGCACCGACTCGTACAAGTCGGATTTGTCACAATCCTATGAAGTCCCCTTCTGCAGTTTGACTTTGCACTAGAAGTTTTTTGGTTTGCTACAATTGGTTTTGCATGAATTGAAGAAAGGTAGAGAGAAGGAAGAAAAAAAAAGGGAGTTTTAACGAAAAGCCCATGGTATTGTTCACTTTAAAGAAAAACCACATTTTTACACTAAAAAGTCAATCATGGTACTATTCACTTTATCTTTTAGTTTGTCCTTATCATTAAAACTCAAAGTTTTCAAACCATTTTCATTAGTTTTCTTAAAATAAAATTGTGTTTTAGGCCCACACCGGCAGGAGAAGAAATTGTTGGTTTTTTTTTTTTTCTTTGGGCCCACGTTTGATATTGGGTTTGTGTTTGGAGCATGTTGTTGCTGACTGCAATAGTTCCTCGGGTGCTTGGAGTGTTGACCACTCAAGTGATAGTTGTTAGAATTTGTTGACGTTACAATTGAGATATGGAAACCTCGTCCGTTTAGTGACAGGTTCTTTCCATACTCTCAACACTAGTCAAAATCAGTTTGCCAGTAAGAATCAGTTTGCCAATCCAGTCAAGTCAAGTTCAGTCAAGTCAAGATTGCATGCCTGCCAATCCGCCTAACGGAGCCAGTCCACATCTGCTTGTTTGCAAACCCATGTCGTATACTGCCATGAGTTTGACAAGAGGTGTTGGAAAATATTAGTATTTGGGTTTTCCTTGTTAGTTTAAGAATTGGGCCTAACCCATCCAAGTTAGGGTTTCTTATGTTTAGTTCTCTATAAATATTACTTGTAATTTAATTTGTGAAACAAGTTAGTCACAATGTAACGCCTTAGGGTTTTGTAGCCGTTTCGGCATTTTTATTTGTTTAATAAAATTTCTATTAGTTTGCAGTATTGTTTATCGCGCACTTTGATATTCAACTGAGCTATATATTCTTCTCTACTGAGAGAAGAGTAATTTAAAAGACAAAAATTCTCTAACCTAAGTCATGGAGGCGAAGCATCCATATGAGAAACGAAAGACCACCATCAAATTATCAAAATCCAGTCAAACATAAATGAAAAAAAGACACGAGTAAAATAGAAAAAAGAAACGAACTCCATCGTCAAAATTAAATCGTACTTTGCATCGCCTCCTCATCCACGGGAACTGTTTGCTCCCTATATTCGCCATGGGCCTCTCAGGCATGCCGGGAATTTACTCAAACATGAAACTGGTGGGTGCGAGCGCGCCACTACTAGATGCCGCTAGTAGACGGGATCTGAATGATTGAAGTTGCGCCTAAATTCAACTTCAAACCAAGAGATTGTGTCATTGAGTGGGAGTGACTCAAATCAGGGTTCTTTCTTTGCCTTAAAGATAAGGACTTTACTTATATGGAGAAATGTAACAACTAAATCACAAGGTTGCTGGAAGTGTGAATGACAGAGGAAAATAAATGACTGGTTTTGTAGATTGCTTGTAATTTAAATGACTGAAAATGAGTTGTACATAAACTAATATGAGATCGATACTACTAGTAAACAGCAGAGCTAATAAACAAGGAAAGCAATGGATGATTGGCTAAAGCTAAATGTCTACAAGGAAGCTGATGATTGATTTGAGTAGAGTTGATTGATTGATTGTTTGAGTGTCCATAATCCTTCTACCTCTGCTTTTTTATATAGAGATCTGAAAGAACCCCCTTGTTGAGAACAATGAACTTGCCTGGAAAAAGCTTGGCCAACTTGCATTGTGAAATAATATTAAAATGGGAACTTGCATTTCCACCACATGTTTTCACCACTTGTAATAAACTATTAATTAAAAGAAGCAAGTTAGCCTCTTTCACCATGTATCCTCTGTCAGAATGTTTGTGTCTTCCCATCTACTTGCATTAGGAAAACATGCAATTGTTGTTTAAACAAAGCTCTTGGGAAACCTCCACCACCCAAACAAATGGGAAAAGCAATATTATAATGTTAAATAACTCCACTTACAGTCAAGTATCTTTCCAAGTTAGCCTTCTTGCACATTAATCCTCCAAATGCCATATTTTACCCAAATGGCCCAAATAAGTGAAATGGTGCATATTTTAGGTGCAAACAGGAACAACACAGAGAACCCTCACACTGGAATTTCCAGAAGGCATATGAATTTAAAGATGCCTTTGCATCGCTTCCTCATCCACGGGAACATCACATAGAACCCTCGCACTGGAATTTCCAGAAGACATCCTCAATGAAATTTAACACGTCATGCAGATAAGACTCCATTTGAAGGAGTTGCCGAGTTTTTTGCCTGAAAAACAGACAAAATCTAAGAACAAATGAGTCCAACTCTACAAAGTCCATGCAATGCACCACATGATAAGATCAAATCCACTACATGTTCTCTTCATGTGAACTACTCCGATTACTCACCGCACCATCAGTGGACTGCCCGTTTTGCTGCGACTCCGGCGCTTTCTTGCTACCAAACTTGGCATCCTAAAAATACAAATAATTTTATCAGTGGAGAAAACAGAAGCAAGCAAAACAAACAAAAGCAAACACTGTGTACCTCAAAGCAAAACGGAAGCTTATACCCAGATTAATTTCATTTGAGCACCTGGGATAGGGAGGGAGAGAGGGCGAGGAATTACCGCAAATCTCAAAGCAAAAAATTGAAAAAAGAAGAATCGGTGACCTGGACGTTGGTTTCTACCCCTTTTATCCCACTTTGGAGTGTTGGAGTGTCGGAGTCTACAAAAACGAACATTATCCCACGTACGAGTGTGGTAGTCTGCAAACCCGAAAGGGTAACTGCTGAATGTAGTTGCAAAACTGAACGTGGTGATCGATCCTTTCTCCCACGTTATACTTTTTTTATTCTTCTTTTTTAAGAACCTTTCCACTCTTACGCTTGAGTTTATTGTTCTAACTGTACGTTTTTTTAATTTTTTTGTTTATTTTTTTATTTTTTTTGTTTAAGGGGCTTGAGACACCAAAGTACTCTTCTGGCATTCTATTGTAGAGATATATTTTTCCTTCGAGTCCTGCTTCAACGTCCAACAGTATGTTTCCACCGATAAATTCTTACAAATTTGAGCCAAACTGCTGGAAGCGTACAAGGTAAAAACATAAACCTGCAAGATTTGTGAGACTAGTAGAGAATAAACGAGAGGGCGAAGAAGGAAAGAGAGAGAAGAAATGGTAGAGAAGAAAAGAGAGACTGGCTCTAAACGGGGAGAGACAAAACGTGAGACTGGTTTGGTGGCTAGACTGCATAAAGAAAAGGAAGAGGAAGAGACATATAGTCACTAGGGTTTAGTTAGGTTATGAGCCTTTGCACCTTCGATTTAGTTAAATTTGGTAGGCCTTGCGAGAGATTAGTATTAGATGGGTGGAAGCCTTTAAGGGAGGGATTCTTATTTTTCAAAAAAATTGGAGACACTCTCTTAGTCATTAAATTTAGCTTTAATGAAATTCTGTGATTGAAATTATGTAGCCTATGATTTAATCTCAACCACATAATTTCATTAAAGCCAAATCTAATGGTTAAGAGGGTGCCCCCATTTAAAAAAAAAAAATTGGGGATCCCTTTAAGGGCCTGTTAAATGGATTATGTTTATTGAATATATTTAAAAACATAAAAAATAAATTTTCATCCATCCTCTTAATGTAGATAATATTATTTATTAAAAAAAAATAAAAATTAAATTACTATTAGTTGGTTCAGTTTGGTTGTGCTAGTTTTTTCAAGTTGAGAACCTGACTCGAAACCAGTCTGAATCGGCTCAATTCAATTCTTGTCAAAAGTTTTTTTTTTTTTTTTTTTGGTCATGGTTCAATTCGGTTTCTCGATTCTAGGTTCTCATGCCCACCCCTAAAAACTAAAGGTGTCAAACGCTCTAATACCTAAAGGTGTCATATGGGCCTAAGCCGTTCTTGGGCTGTGCGACTAAACAAGCCCCTCAACAAACTTTAGTTATCTTATATTATCAGAAAAAATTATTTGAATCTAGTTTAAAACCTAATATCACAATTATTTAGTCTTATTAGCTCCAAACCGTATGTTTTACTTGAAAAATAATGAATAAATATATTAATATTTAATTCTGTATTAGTTTAATGGGATAGTCATCATAATGGCCCCACGTCATGGGTCGTGCTTGGCCACGATGAATCGCTGTTGGGCCAGCCTATTGGACCTAAACCTTAGGACTGACCTGGCCACTCATTGCTAATCATGCCGTGCAGTGCCTTATCTAAATGAGCTTGGGTCGTGCCTAATTTAATAAGGCACGGTCATTGACATAGTTTATTGTTGCGGTTTCCCCTTCCTCTCACAAACATACTATTTCATTCACCGTCCGTAATTTTCCGTTTTACAATGGGAAATCAGGGTTGCAGTTGTGTGTGGAGGATTTCTATTGGGGTCCTATGAGTTTAATTAGTCATTTATGATTTATGTGTTAAAGTTTCCTCCTGTATAATGAGTCTGTATTATCTTCCTGGTTTCTCAACTTATATGTGATTGTATGGGAGACAAACGGATCTTGTAAAGAAATCGTTGATGTCCTCAGAAAATGGATGCTTTGGTGGTACTTACTTATGTTCTAACTTCTAATCATATTGGTCCTTCAACCAGCAATTGCCGATAGTTATGCTAAAATATGACTTCGAAACCACTTAGTACTACGGTCTAATAATATTTTTATTCACTTATAAGTCAGAGATCTTAGGTTCTGTTCTTGCCAAATGCGATTTTGAATCACATTATTGCTAGCTCATTATAAGGCTAAGCTCAATTCTCCCCTTTAGTGCAGATAATATTATTTGTTCAAAAAAAAAAAAAAAGACAACTTTGAAATAGAAATGGGGTGGTGTTAACCACACACCTCTTTTTATCTTTTACAAACCCTTTCAATTTTTGACCGTCGGATCAAATGAATTGATGAGGATTAAGGAATAAAAGTTAATGGAAGACAACCATTAGATTATGTCTACAACTACATATATAACGCAATTATCGTTTTACACTATAAAGTTTTGCCCACGTGTTGCTGTGGGATTAAAAATTATGTGAATTTTTTTTATGTTTAAAGGTATAAATACATCAACTTATATCACATCAATTGAATTACTGCAATAACATATTGACATATTTAATATGAAAAATCCATAAACTATTCGACAACATGAAATCCAGCAATCTCTAAAGATGAGAAATGAACGTAGAAATCCTACCTCATACATATTAAAACAATTAACAAACTCTCAGTAAATGATCACAAAAGAGGTATAAAAAAGTAAATTTCTTAATTTAAAAAATGAGAGATAAAGAAAAGGTTATAAGTTCTTAGTCCTCACCATAACAAAAATTGTGATATCGTATTAACATTAACTTGGATTGATTTCGGTCACCAGCATTAATAAAACCAGTGACTTCAACCTGTGCCAGCAAATGACCGAATTAGATGCAAGCCAACCAACTTCGAATTTAACCAAATAAAAAAAAAATTACAATTAAACTAACCTCTTCTTCCCATATGAAGTAGTAGTTCCCTGTTTTGCCTTTGTGAACAGTACATTCTTCACTCTCTACACAAAAAATGCATACTCAAAATGCTCAGCAACATTATGAAAACTATACATATACAGTATTGTATATGTATTTGGACATAAGGTATAAAAATTTACTAAAATAATCAAGCTTAAATTTAACAAATGAACTAATTGCGAATTGGAATAAAAAACGATATAATAGTTGTTAATAAAAAAAATCTGACTAAATTTTACAAATAGCTTCATAAATTGTTAAAAAATTAACACCATTGAAAAAACTCATCACTCAAATCTGTAATTCTATTAAAAACACCACTGAAAACCCCAAGAAAAGGGGTACATATTCCTAACCTGCCAAACAATTTCTATAGTCATACCGAAGCAAGGAAAGGAGTACATATTCCTAACTTGCCAAAAGGGTTAATAAATTATACCTTTTTTTTTTAAGAGCTTGTATTCTTTTATCTATATCTTGAGCTGGACCTGCTGATCCACAACAAAAAAGGGTGTATATACATCAATGAAACAACTTTTAACAGCAAGACTAAGAATAAAATTACTGTATTTTAACATCTCACATGCAACATGAAAATCATACACATCTTTTATATGATTAACTACAAACAATTACTATTTTTTAATTTTGAATCCACTAACTCTAGAAGTTAAATAAAAACTCAACACAGTTAAACCCACATTCCAATTCAACCAAAATTCAACAAATTCACCCCAAATTAGATCAACAGAAAGAGAAACATGGGAAAACCCAAATGCAGAAGTTAAATAAAAACTCAACACAGTTAAACCCACATTCCAATTCAACCAAAATTCAACAAATTCACCCCACATTAGATCAACAGAAAGAGAAACATGAGAAAACCCAAATGCAATAAGAGGGAGGGAGGGAGGGAGGAGGTTACAATGAGCTTTTGTTCTGAATTTTTGAATGATTACCCAATCTAATCAAACGTTAACACTATAGTAGTGATTAGTGCGGGAAAAACTTTTCCCATGAGTGGATTATAAATTTCTTATGAGTCCTAATTATTAGTTAACCCCAAACTAAGTGAGATAACATACAGATAGAAAGACGCATCACTAACATTAACTTATTTTTGTTTATTGATGAATATAAACTGAATTTTTCAGTGAAACAATTTGATTGAGAAAAATAATAAAATAAAATAATTAAGTAACAATACTTAAAGCCCGATCAACATTCAAGTAAAAAGTGAGAGAAAGACCAAGAGTCCAACCTTGAAAGTTCGCATGAAATTCTGTAACTTCATACAGTACCTTCGTAATTGTATCACCCATAAAACTACTGAAATAAAACCAACAAACGTGAAGTCAAAATATATATATACAATCTGATATTCTTGCTCAAGAGTGTAGAAGATATAACCCTACAGTGAAACGAAAAAATTGTAATCTACAAACATCAAGGTGCAATTGTATGCCATTACAAAACCAAAATTCAAAGTTGAAAGCATTTATAAAAGACATATACAAATATTACAATTTAAAAAGAAAAAATGGTAAGAGTAAAAAAAAAAGAGGAGCATGCGTACGGAGGAGAGGAGCAATGAGCATGGACAATCTTCGCCACATTTCAATGAACAGAAAAATGATATCATAGACTGTAATTCCATAAGTATTTTAATCGTATGATTTTAATTGATTTCAAGTAGTATACATCCAAGATCTTACTCGATTTTGAGTTATATACTGAGCTCTATTGAGTCCTCTTGCCATCCAAGGATGTGAGTTCATTGGTGAAACCACATGGATCATTCCACAAATAAATGCTAAAGGAAATAGCCTTATAATCAAGTAGTAAGTGGTTTAAGTCTATTCTAATATATAAATGTGAAGAAAGATAGAGTGATAGACAGATAAAAAGCAAGTTATGAAGACTAAGAGAGTAGAGAGGAACTGAAATAGACCTTAGCAATAGTAGTACTGCAGTCTGTAGAGGGTGCCCAGTTCTTGGTCTCTCCAACTTCAAACCTTGTCCCACATCAAAAACAATGAGATCATTGTCAACAGAAAGTACAATCCGAAAGTTGGACACAAACTACTTAAACTCGAGCAGCTATGACCAAATGATGATAATTGTATGAAGAAGGCAAAAAAAAAAAAAAAAAAAAAAAACCAATAACAACAACAAGCAACACTTCACATACAATTTGAATTGAAATCTGTATTCAAAATTCCCCTCCTTATTTTATGACATAAAATGAGATACAGTGCTATTAGAAACAACACTTCACATTTGCTATTATAAACCCACCATAAGATACACTGCTATTACAAGGAACACTTCACACAGACTGCAAGATGAAAAATAAGATCATAAATACTTATGATAAGGAAAACTCAAATGAGGAGGGGAATTATAAACTGCAGAATACAGAGTGCACAACCTATTTGAAATCTCCATCACTCATTTGAACAAAAATATTGAAATTGTAACCGAGTATGTATTGAAAGAAGAAGGAAGTGAATGAGAGAACTATACCACTCTTTCAGGAATTCAAAAGAGAAGGCTGAAATCAAGCACATTAATATAACAACTGTGCACATTAAAAACACCTCTTATTTTCACCAATATTCCACATTAAAAAGGCTAAAACTAAAAGAAAGGTTTCAAAGAAGCAAGATTTAGTATGGAAGTTTACCAAGTTGCGAGTAACAATTTGGGTGCTCATATAGTCAGCTCTAACTGCACACAAAGCGAAAAAATAAAGAAAGTTCAGTTTTGCAGTAAAAGACATAATATAACACATAAAATCACTGCAAACAATAGGATTCTAAAATATAAACCAACCAAACGATTTAGTTGCAGTAAATTATGCATTTTAAAACAACAACAACTATCAAGAGAACTCAGTTTTGCAATAAGTCGTAAACACCATGCAAGATAGCAAACGAAAGGCAGTTGTTTAGCAGCAAACAATAGGGAATACTCCAAGAATCCAAGCCCGGGAAACTTCAAATCCGTTGCAACAAAAGATATATGGAAGTAGTACTCTAAAAAAAGCTTATGATAATTAATTAATTGGAATATTTTAGAGCTGTGATTTGCTACATGGGAAAGGGATGAGTTTTAGACAAGTTGATAAGATTTGGAATCACAAAAGATATATTGAAGTAGTACTTTACAAAAAGCTTATGATAATTAATTAATTAATTGGAATATTTTAGAGCTGTGATTTGCTACATGGGAAAGGGATGAGTTTAAGAAAAGTTGATTAGATTTGGAATCACAAACACTTCGGAGGGATTTTATGGTAGTTCTCTTAAAACCAAAAGACAGTATTAGGGTTTCTTAGTTTCTTACCCAAATCCACCAATTTGAATCAAATCTCTGTAGCCGAGCTTCAAATCCTTCTCAAATCGCCTCCACGAACATGATTTATGGAAGATTGGAAACGCATAGAGAGGCAGGCCCTGTATTTTTTGCACTTTGAAACGCAATCCATCTTGTCCTATTGACCCTTCACAGACTTCTCCGAGTAACCTGCTGAGAGAAACAATAACCATTATACATTTTTTTAGATGGATTTTAGAGAGGAAAAAGAATAGCATTTAAGGACACATGAAAACTAATTTTATGCTGAGATTTGCATAGGAGAAGCGAAAGAAGAAGATAGAGAAGGGGTGGTCGATACCTTAGCCGGCGTTTGAAAGCGACGGGAGGAGTTCGAGTGCGACGGAAGCAGAGATTTGAGAGAGAGAGATAAGTGAACACAAAAGGAAAAATTTAGAAGTGTAGTCGAAGTAGAGGTTTGGAGAAAAAGCGATGAGCGATCTGATTTTTTGAATGAGAGAGTGGAATGAAGTAGAAGAGTCAAGAAACAGAAGGTGAAGCGATGAGAGACGCGTGGCCAGCAAGGGTAAATCCGCCACTTCGCTGTATAGAAACGGAAAAAATAGAATGCCAAAGAGCAATTGGAGGGCAATTTCGGCACTTTACTGTTAATGAACAGTAACCGAGTGTTTGGGTTTTAGTGTATATAAACTAGGAAACGGTGTCCGCGCGTTGCTGCGAGATAAGAAAGTTCGTAGGTCATAACAATTAAAATAATTATTAAAAATAGATTGAGCATAATTTGTAAGTTGTTCAGTTTTGGCTAATGTTATATTAATTTATACAGACAAATGTATTGAGAAATAAAGAGTAAGTGAAATTGGAAACATGGAATGAGAATTTGAATAATGTCTAAGAAAAGATAAGTTTGTTGTAATTTAGTACAACAAAGATGGAAATTGGTGTCTTATGCAATAAAATATATTTAGTGATAACGTTATATAAGAGTTACAAAAGTGTTGCAAATCATGCTATGATTAAATAGCAGTTTATTTGCCAATTTTATAATTTTTAAAACAAAATTAAATGGCGCTCTAAGACGGATTAGATTTATATAAATTGGTAAACTTAGTTTTGATTATCTTGAGTAAGAATAATCATTTCTGTCTTTTCTCTTCAGATGAATTAACTATTATCAATTTATATGGATACTTTCTTCTTCTAACTTATTGTGAATACATGGCTTATTATTTGTTTGTCTAGTGAAAGACTTAAGGCCAATATTCAAAAGTATAAACAAACATCCTTCCACTAAAGATAAATCCTGCCCATATTTTATAAATTTGTGAAAGAACATATTAGATTAAAATATGTGGAGAGGGTATATCTCTAGTGCAAATGTCTACTTTTGTGATATCCCGTCCCTAAAATTATTATTTTAGTTTATTCTTGACGTATTTCGAAGATTTGATTGGAATTAGTTCTTTATTTCTCCAAATTTAAGAAAACGAAGGGAGGGGAACTTTAGTCATTTCAAATTTTCTCGACCTTTTTGGTCAACTCTTAAATTGGTTAGGTAGAGTTCGATTTCATGAATGCATAGGCGTAAACAGATATTATTTCCGAGTCCGAACGTAAAAGTTAGAGTCGTTTGAAGTTGGTGGCATTTTGGTAATATTACCAAAATGCTATAAATGGGAGGGAAACCTCCATAAATGAGGGAGGTTTTCAGAAAATGAAAGGGGGAGAGCTGCCTAACCCAGGTAGAAATTGACCCATTAACCCACCAAACTTGACCCGCTTGTATCTTTTTCATCCGAGCTCCGTTTTGGATGATCTTGGTGTCCATGGAAAGCTCTTGACGAGCCCTACATCTCTAGTGATGTTAGATTTTCCCATTTCTTTTCCATATTTTCAGTTCGAGGTCGCAAAGTCCACGACTTTGCTGGCGGTTTTATCATTTTTCCGGCGATTCTGGCAACGATTTCCTTCGAGTGAGGTATGAAACTTCATCTACTCTTCATAATCTTCAAGTGGGTATGCTTAGTTTGTGCTTTCGTATTCATTTTAGAGTTGGGTGTTTAGAACCTTAGAGATCCGGTTTTCTCCGGTGAAATTGGACGATTTCCGGTTAGAATTTATCGTCGGCCTAGTGATGAAAAGTGTGTCCCTTATTGAGCTCTAGCTACTATGTGAATTTGAGTTCATCTAGTTAATGTTGAAATTTCAGGGTTTGTAAACCCTCCATCTTGACTTCCACCGCGTGTGGCGGTGCGTGGGATTGTTCACAAGTGTTGTCTAACCTTCTAATGACCATGTGAACCTATGTCTAGCTTGGTTTCCAAAGATTCAATTGTTGGGTGTGGTGATCAATTTGGACCGCCACTTGTTTGTGTGACTGACGACAATCCGACCATTGGATTATAATGAAACCTTAGTATGTTATCCTCAAAGCATAATGTAGACTTTGGGAAGTTATGGATCATAAATCTGAATTGCGGATTGTTGTGGACCTCATCGTTGACTGAGATTTGAATTATGGTCAACATGTCTCGGAATGTTCTAAATAATAAAATTAGTACTATGGGAGACTTAAGTGAAGTCTAATGGGCCTACATTGGTTAGAGAGTGACTTGAACATATGTGGTATGGTTATTATCTTGATTTTTTATATTGGTATCATCTGTGAATTTTACTTGGTCTTATAATGTGATTCTATTGAAATGTGATTATATATATTTATATATATTTAGCCATAGACCTATGTTTATCAAACATGATTTGGCTTGTGTACTGATGATGATCGTGATATGTGAATTGACGTGCATATTCGAAAGGTGGTTGATTTACATAGATGGTATGATATGATGAAATGTGAGTGACTTTAATTTATGTGAATATGAAATGGTTTTATAATCATTTTTCCTATAAATTGTTAATTTTCATATTTAGCCAATGATATTGTTATATGAAGTGGGATTTGACGTGCATATTGGAATTATGGTTTGTTTTGTATGATTGGCTTGATTTGATGAGGTGAGGGCTAGTAGTGGACCGTTAACCCATTGTCATGGGGTTTGTTGTTTTGAAACATGTGTCAATGCTCGTCTCATTATTTCATATCTTGTTTCGTTGAGCCTTTATAACTGGAGTAACTTGATTCATGTGTTGTTTCATTGATTGGTGGTTATGTAATGGATTCCGCGATTCCGTTAAGTGATGGTCCGGAATCGTATCCTGGATTGGATTCCGTTGAGTGATGATTCGGAATCCTTCCTACTCCACTCTGCGATTTCGTTGAGTGATGGTCAGGAATCGTATCTTGGTTTGGGTTCCGTTGAGTGATGGTCCAGAATCCCTCTTACTTCGCGATCCCGTTGAGTGATGGTCCGGAATTGTATCCACCTTAGTTCATTGAATTTAGTTTGAGATGGTTGCAAAGGTGTAGGCTTTGGATGAACAGTGTCGCCCTAATTCTACTTTCATTGTGTGTATGTGAATATGGGTGTGAGATGTTATGGTTGTTTGAAATGAACTTTTGGATGTCTGGGTGACTCCTCGGAGTTTTCAAAAGTTTGGTATTGATTTCTTATGAAAGATTTATACTCAAGGTTTATAAATTATGATTGATGGCTGGTTTTATTATTGTATCACATGCTTATTTTATTGTCCCTCACCCGAGCCTCTCAGCTTATCTAATGCCTGATTTGCTAGTGCACCAATTCCATAATATTGGCATTGACTTTACATATGACAGGTCTGGGTAAATTATAGGAAACCGCTTGGCATTTTGGTTCCGTTGAGTGGTCCGAAACCCAATGTTGTTGGATTCCGTTGAGTGGTCCGGAATCCTTGCTCTTGTTCATTCCGTAAGGTGATCTTAGAATCCTAAATTCGAGTAGATGGGAATTACCCATAATAGATATTGGGAAAATAAATTAGAATTACCATGTTATTATTCTTAACCCAAATTGGGAATTATGTAGAGTTCTTTAATTAAATTCGTGAAATGATATGTTATCTCACTGATTGATTAACGTAATTAAATATTAACATTGTGCTTTGTGATTCCTTGATATGTTACAAGCTATGTATTGAGATATAATGTTGGAAGTATAGTAAATTGGTAAGATGAAGTGAAATGTGAATTGACTTGTGTATTGGAAATAGTTGTGACATGTGATTGAAATGCATATTGAATTGCTTGGGAGATGTGAGGTCTAGTAATTGGCCGATAACCCATTGTGATGTGGATTTGTTGCTCGATATTGTTTCGTTTCGTTGAGTTTTTGGGAATTGAGTAACTTGAATCATGTCTTGTTCCTTCGAGCCGTTGTTATGTTTCTTGGACTTCCGTTCAATTCGGTTGGGTGGTCTGGAACTGAGTTCTGTTTGGATTCCGTTGAGTGACGGTCCGGAATCCTCTTTGGAGCCTTGGTCCGTTGGGTGGTCTAAAATCCCCTTTTTCCAGGATGTAGTCTTCAACTGAATTATGTTGCTTTAGCCTTGCGTTTCGACTTGTTGTATGTGTTATCGATGATGTGATGGTTGACATTATTGATTGATGTAATTATGGAATTGGATATGAGTGGGGTTATCATGAGTATTTTAGTTGATTAATATTTCTAGAGAATAATGTGTACTTTGTTAATTCTTAACTATGTTACACACTATGAAATGCGATTTTATGTGGAAAACGTGATGAATTATGTGATGGTTGAAGTGGAAATGTTAACCGTCATGTGAGATTGTTATGTTGGATACCATGGTTATTGTTATGACTAGACTTGTTGGTAAATGTGGCTAGAGAATGGTATTGTGCTTCGTTGGTTCTTTGAAGTGATATATGTTGTGAATTGCAGTATCATGTTGCGACATAATGATTTATATATAGATGGAAGGGAAATCATGATTTCAGGTGGGTTTGTTATGTAACCCTGAGTCAAGTAATTTCATGCTTGTCGAATTCTATTGATTGATTGAGAAACGTTATGCCTTTCGACTTAATCGGACTGTGTTATATGTCAATTATTGTGCTTGATGAACTACGAATGGCTTGATCCCTGTCTAGGGTACGTAGGTAGTCTAACAGGGAGGTTAGATGCAGCCATAAAGTTTACGAAAAATAACTATGTGATTCGATTTTTGAGTTGTGCTTGCCTATATCCCGGAGGTGGGATATGATAGATACGGATTTTTGGTGACGTCACATGTCAATTCTGGACGTATGTCGGGATTGGGGTTTGACAACTTTTATACTTTTATCTCTACTGAAAAGAAGCTAGTTTATATATATATATATATATATATATATATATTAGTAATAGCTAATTCGCCAATAAAACAAAGCCTAGTAAAAATTGTTATTAAATGTAGAACGTCAATAAAACAAAGTTAACAAAGTATTAATTAATTTTTCATACCTTTTAATATTTGTGTCTTCATTGCTTGAAAATGTATCTGTCAACGTTGTAAATCCCTTGCTGAATTAGCTTCTTTTTTTTCTTTTTTTTCCCTAAAATTGTAAAATAAAGTGTTAAAAAAAGGTTGTATGGCAGTTAATAAATAATATATAATAATTAGTTGAGATGGATGGAAAAATGGAGTCATACGTAGGATGAAAGAGCAAAAACT